TTCTAGAGGCTGTTAGCCGGCTCATCTCCCTGCACTTATTGAGCTCCTGCTGTGGACCAACTACTGGAACAGCAGGCACTTGCTACAGGCTCTATCACAGACAGAAGACAGTATTCCTTACATTCCTCCGAACCACCCCAGAGTCTAAATGAAAGAAGGGTACAACCTCCCATGTCCATAATCAACTGTCCAGTGCCCACTACCATACTTCACTATCCTAGGCCCTGCTGGCTGCAAAAATCTCCATTGTTTTCTGTGGTACCAACCAGCAGGGGCATTGGCACTTGGTTGCTCCTCTCCTGAGTTAAAGTCTGTACAAGGGAAGCTAAATGAGGCAGATGTCTGAGAAACTGGGAAGCAGTGGTAAGGGCTGTGAGTCTTACCTGGCACCTGCAAATAGCATGTGGTTAGTTACCATATTTCCTTGATGCCATAGGTAGCATCCTTTCACATTTTAACATTTATGTGAAGTATGGTACCTATTTGCTTTGTTTAACAATGGACAGGTTATTTTGATTTTCTGAATTGTATAAGTCATCCCATTCGATTGAATGCCTTATTGATTGAATGACTGTCCCATTGATTGTGATCTTACTGGTTATCGAAGCACATTCTTCTGTACCTGGGAACCAGGACAGCACAATTATCCCAAGACCTGAGGGTTCCAGATAATGTTTCCCTGTCAACTCAGTGGTCCCAAGACCCGAGGGCTCTAAATAATGTGTTTCTGTCAACTCAGTGGTCCAAAGACCCAAAACTATAAATATTCTTTGTAGATAACTAATCAGCTCAATCTCGCTTCTGTAACTGCTTTGTGCAAACCAGGGTCCTCATTCCAAACCCTGGGATGTAATCAATACCTTTGTGATTTTTGCCTATATAAGTCTGGTTTTGCCACCATCTTATTACTATGAGATTTGGGAATGACCCCTCATAGTCCCGGATTGCAATAAACGTGACTCTTTAATTCGACTTCTTGAGGTGTCCTTCTGTGATTCGCGGGGTACATTACAACATATGAACTAGGGATATTGCTTGTTGTATATATGGATACCACACACACACACACACACACACACACACACACACACACACACACTTAATGAGCTGATGTTCCCTTTTTTCTCTTCAGTCACTTTACTAAATCAATGATGTATTTACCTGCATGCTACTTGTCATTAGAATGCTCTAGAGGCTGGTGGTGTGGGGTTAATAATTCCAAGATTCTAATCATGGCTTGATCTTTTTGGTGACTGGCCTCCATACAGGAACCATCCATGAGCTCACCAGAGCCACCTCATTAGAACAAAAGATGCCCCTAGTGCTCTCATCTCTTAGGAATTACAAGGGTTTGGGGAGGCCTGTGTCAAGGTTGGGGTCAAAGACCAACTATTAGAACAAGAAATTATCCTATCACTTAGGAAATTATAAGAGTTTTACAAGTTCTGTGCCAGGAGTTGAGGGGAGAGACTAATATATATGTCATATATATAATGTAAATTTTCTCTTTTATACACGCCAATTCATCTCAGATATCCATATGATTATATGATTAAAAATAAGTCTAATGCAATATTTCTGTCTTTAAAAACGTTGTGGCCATTGCCTTCAGAATAAATAATTATCTTTTTACTCTAGCAAATGGACCTCTATACCATTCATCTGGGATATAGTGGGTAGCTTCACCCCCTAATCCTGTTTAACCTGTTCCACTGCTGAACACATCTCTGTTGAGTACCCAGTTCCAAAAATCTGCCAGAGTTTGAGAGGTGACTGACTTCATCTAAATTATTTTTCAACAATTTTATTTTAATTTATACAACACTCTACTGTAGAGTTCATACCTGTGGGCAAATCTCATCCTTCAATTAATATCTAAATATTATATATATAAATTTTGTCCTATTTAAGTGAGTACAGTTGACCCTTGAGCAACATTGGTTGAACTGTGTGGGTCCAATTACATGTGAATTTTTAAAATAAATATCTATACCATTTTGATCCATAGTTGGGAGCACGCAGATGTGGAGGGCCAATTGTATACATTGATATTTGCCATTTTATATAGGGGACTTGAGCATCCTCAAATTTTTGTGTCCCTGGTGGGGAGACCTGGAACCAATCTCCCCACAGATATCTAGGGGGCCATTGATGTAGTTAAGTTTTGGAAGAGTCAAAAGTATAACTACCACATATTGTTAAAGAATAATGAGCAATTGCCTGATAGAGTGGAGTGCTCAGGGTGTACATTTTATTTCATCATTAGATAATAGGGCTAATTTCAAGCCTGATTTAAAATCATGCATTCCAAGTTAAGGGATATCTGAGGGCCAACATCGTGTCCTTAACTTTGTCTTTGTGAAGAGACAGCCTTGCTGTGGGGATTTTCTGGCACAGGCTTGGGAGCCATGCCCAGCCTCTGCCCATGATTAATGGAGTGCTGCTAGTACAGGCACACAGAGATCTAGCTGTGCCGGAAGGGATGACTATGGGAGAAAGCATTGGGCAAGCTATAGAGATGCTATCACAGTCATTCCTAGTTTCAGAAAAAAGGCACGATGGATGTCCAATCTATTAGAAATAATAATACGATCTTGGCTCCTAGTATTTGATGGTCTTGCCTAGCTCTTTGTCACAGGTGACTCTGGGGCCTTTGAGCAACCTTGTGTTAGATATACAAAGACCCAGAGAAGCTTGAGTTTTCAGAAAGTGTAGAGTGGTAGAGGAACATTTTGCAGTCACAATAAATTTATAATGTTTATCACCTATTCTGCAAATTGAGTGCAGCAATAAAGTTATAATAAATTAATATTCTGAATATACTATATATTGAGTCCCAACAGTGTACAAGGCCTGGAGTTCTTAGACCCTGCAGGGAACATGTGAATGTTAGCCATGGTCTCTGTCTTCAAAGGGCTTGCGCATGGTTCAGAAGATAAGCTGAAAATTTTACTAATACTTCCTGGCATTGCAAGTGTTTGAGAGAAGTAACAGATAGAGGGCATGGGACTCATTTATATCACTTAACTGAGATTAAACAAACTTACCAAATACCTTAGACTTCACTATATCTAGTCTACAAAAGCAAGCAGACAAAGAGAAAAAACTCACTCCAAGTTTCTCACACACTAACATGTACACTGTGGGGCAGAGGTAGGCAGAGTATTAGGAGTCAGGGGAAGGAAGGAACAGCTGTTCTATGGTGGGTAACAGAAGTATCATGAAGAATGTGGCATGAGATGTGTGGGTTCAGGAAAGCTGGATAGGAGATGGCCCCTCACCTCAGAGAGTGACTTATTGTACTTGTCAAGTTGGAGGAGAGGGTGGCATGAAATGAAGAATATGATTAAGCTATAAAAGACTGACTAGTATACTCTAAGTTCTGTTCAATCAACCCTGTAAAAGGTGTTTCAGCTGAACCTGGAGGAAGATGAAAGGCGAACCGGCTAAGTGGGAGAACTCACACAGAGTTCTGATAAAAGGAGCAAGGACAGCAAGAACTGAACAGGCCAACCAAGCAAATGATCAGTTCCTGCTTTTTTTGTTGTTGCAAATCTTAAAATATTTTGCAGAAAGTGTCTGGACGTAAGTTATTTCTCCTTATACTTGGCCACCATGCGTCTAGACCAGTGGTCGGCAAACTGCAGCTCGCAATCCACATGCGGCTCTTTGGCCCCTTGAGTGTGGCTCTTCCACAAAATACCACGTCCGGACACGCACATACAGTGCGATTGAAACTTCGTGGCCCATGCACAGAAGTAGATATTTTGTGGAAGAGCCACACTCAAGGGGCCAAAAAGCCGCATGTGGCTTGTGAGCCGCAGTTTGCCGACCACTGGTCTAGGGTATCCCTTTCAGAAAGACAGAAGAGGGAAGAGTCTCAGACATTCATTGATAATACTAGTTTCTTAAAAATCTATAATAATAAAAGGGTAATATGCTAATTAGACCAGACATCATTCCAGACCTCCTTCCAGATGAAGCCAGGGCCAGAGGGAAGCTGGGGTCCTGGATGCCTGTGGGCGGCCTGAGGGAAGCCAGCTCTGCTCCCAGGTACAAAAGGGAAGCCAGTGCCCCCAGCTGGGGGAAGAAAAATCTACTCTTGCATGAATTTCATGCATCGGGCCTCTATTATATATATAAACTGTAAGGACAATATCCTTAAAAATGCTTAATTTCCATTAAAAGCATTTATCAAGAGTCTACTTTGTGGGAGGTGCCGTTCTAGATATTGGGGACATAACACTGAGCAACAGACAACATTATCTACATTATATTCTGTGCAGGTAGACAGATGAAAAACAAATACATAAATAGAAGTCTTCACTGACCAGCTGCTTAGTCTTCATTGGCCAAGTGGGAAAGGTGATAAGGAGAGCTCGGTGTATTGCATGAAGTGATTTGCAGCTCACCAGGCATGACTCAGTGGTTGAGTGTCGACCTAGGAACCAGGAGGTCATGGTTCGATTCCCACTCCGAGCACATGCCTGGGTTGCAGGCTAGATCCATAGTGGGGAGAATGTGGGAGGCAGCTGATCAATGAATCTCTCTGATCATTGATATTGCTATCTCTCTTTGAAATCAACAAAAACATATTTAAAATAAAATAAAATGGAGTGTACAACATAGTAGATCTTATTGAAAAAATGGTATTTGAGAAAAGAACTAAGAAAGGTGAGGATGGAGACCTGATGTTGAAGACAGCATGCTGGCATGTTTCTTCTGGGAACGAGAAGGACAGAGTGGCTGAAGAGAGCTGAAGGGAAGAGGAGGGCATGAGGTGCAAGAGGCACAGGGTGCCAGATAGTGTGGAATCATTATGAGGAATTTATCTTCCATTCAGTAAGATGGTAGCCATTGGAATATTTTAAAGAGGGGCATGACACAGCATTGCTTCTGTCTGAAAGGGATGGCTTGTTACTTTTGGAAAATAAACTATGAAGGAGAAGCAAAGTAGAGTAAAACCACTTATCAGAAAGTTGTCCTAATCCAGGTGAGACATGATTGAGGACTTTTGTCAGAGTGGAGTGGTGGAGGAGATGAAAGGTTAGATTCTGGGTCTATTCTGAAGGAAGAGTCAACAATATTTCCTGACAGCTTGTGTGGGAGTGAGAGAGAAAGAGATTTCCAGGACCAGACCACTCTCTGATCTTTGGCTTGAGTAGCTATATTGATTGACAACATTGTCATTTCCTGAGATGAGCAAGACATTTGGAGGAACAGTTTTAAGGATGAAGATCAGGAGTTTTGTTTTTGTATATATTTAATTTGTGATGCCCACCAGACATCAAAATGAAAATGCCAAATAGATAACTGAATGGGAAAAAAATATTTCTGAGACCTATGAATTGGCAATCAACAGCATAACAGTCATTTTTGAATCATGTGATTTGGTAAGATCTCCAAAGGAATAAGTATAGACTGAAAAGAGAATAAGTTCAAGGAATGAGATCTGGGGCCCTCTGCTGTTTACAGGCCTGTGGTATGAGGAGACATGAGTGAAGAACTTCAAGTAAGAAGGAACAGCTAATCAGGGAGAAACAGTAGGGCTGGAAGTCAAGTAAGAAGCATGTATCCAAAAAGACAGGGTCAAATAACAAGTCAGACATGGCAGAGAAATAAAATCAGGACTGAGAATTGATCATTGAATTAAAAATCTGGAGATGGTTGGTGACCTTGATGAGTAATTTCAGAAAAGAGGTGGGGAGAAAAGAGATTGTCTCTTGTCCCTGACTGGAGTGGATTAAAGAGAGAATGAAGTACTAGGGACAGTGACTATAGATAACTCTTTGAGAGGATCTTGTTATAAAGGAACCACAGAAATACTGTGGTTGCTGAAAGGGCATGCAAGGTCAAGAGAGTTACTATAATTTGGTTAAAGATGAAGAAAATTACAGCTTGTTGAGGAGTGCGGAGAAGGGGTGACATAATTTTATGAGTAGAATTAAAAATGCTATCACCTTGGCCCTACTAATCCAACAAGAGAAAATCTAATAATTTTGCATTTTATTTTATATTCTGACACCATTTGACTTTAAGTCTATCTTGTTTAAACCATTTGACTTTATAAAAGTTAGTGTATTTCATAAAGATCTTATGAAACAGTTAAATTGAAGGTAGAAAATAATGTCAATCATTCAACAATATACATTATGAATTTTTCATTATCACACTTAACCTGCACAGGGATCCTATGTACAAAGTACTATTATTTCTAGTTTTCCATGATGAAATGAAAACTCTAGGAATATTAAGTAATTTGTTCAATGTCACTAGCTAAGTCACAGGATTATCAGAATTGGGTGAAATTTCTTTATACTCTATTTACTCTGGGTCTGCCATTCCCCAGAAATAACTTTGTCCATTTGGGTGGCAGAGTAAGTTGATCTTTTATGACACTTGTATTTGTTGCATGACATTTATTATGCATATTAATGGACAAATCTGTGGTTAGAAATGAAAAGTATGATGGGGATAAAAGCTCCAAATCAATGAGGAAGGTCTTAGAAAAGGGGGAGAAATCAGTAAAAGCAAAGAAACATAGCATCCTGGTGTTAAAATTATGTCCTCGAGGATCAAATAGTTTACAGTCTCAACTTATAAATAAGACTCAGAGACCCAGAAAATAAGTAATTTGCCAGAGGAGGCAGAATTAATCACAGGAGAACAGAGGGCTCCTGACTCTGAATTGAATGTTCTTTTCAATGCACTTACAGCACAATTCATGGGTTGAAATTGGCTTCTACAAAGAGAATTATAAGTTCCTGATGATAAATATGGCTTTGGAGTACTTTATAATGATATTTCTTTTAAAAATCAGACAGAAAATGCTAATTTTTTGTTTCTATGTGAAGCTTTTGCCATTACTATTATAGTTTGAATAAGATATTATTGTTCATCCTCTTTATGTACTTGAATTTATCTCCCCTTTTCTTCATGTTTCTCTTTACAAATGTGGTACAAGAATAAGCATTTTTGGTCTGCAGAGTGGGCTGCTTCTTATTCCCGATTTAGATAATCTCTGTCATCTCTCATCCTTCCTATGCTTTCACCACCGTTGTGGGGTTGCTTGCCAAGTTGCGCTAGACCAGTGGTTCTCAACCTTCCTACTGCTGCGACCCTTTAATACAGTTCCTCATGTTGTGGTGACCCCCAACCATAAAATTATTTTCGATGCTACTTCATAACTGTAATTTTGCTTCTGTTATGAATCATAATGTAAATATCTGATATGCAGGATGTATTTTCATTGTTACAAATGGAACATAATTAAAGCATAGTGATTAATCACAAAAATAATATGTAATTATATATGTGTTTTCCGATGGTCTTAGGCGACCCCTGTGAAAGGGTCATTCGACCCCCAAAAGGGTCGCGACCCACAGGTTGAGAACCCCTCCGCTAGAGAGGGAGCCGAATTGAGGGGGGAAAAAGGAGAGGACCGCTAGACGAAGAGAGGGAGCCGAATTGAGGGGGGAAAAAGGAGAGGAGAGAGCTCAGGAGGGCAAGCCCTAGAGGTATCTGGATTGTGAGGTTGATCAAAAGGGGTCAGCAGGCAAGCTCTGCTGAGAGGCCTCCAAGAAAAACACCCCCCATTGACTATTATGTAAAGAACTGATCCTGGTGACAATAAGTAATGAATTTGAGAATCTACAACCTCAAACCCCTCATGGAAACAAAGACGGGAGTAGATTAGCATCTTATGAGAGGTTGCTTCATTGATTTGCAGCAGAGAAATAAGAAGGAAACAAAATCTTTAAGATCTGCGGTGATGAACACAAAATACAATATACTGCTGATGTGTTATAGAATTGTACACCTGAAACCAATATGATTTATTAACCAATGTCACTCAAATACATTCCAAAAAAAGTAAAATTTTAAATTTTTAAAAAGATCTGCTTTTGTCTGACATTTGGACTCACAGAGCCCCTTTGATATAGAAATCTGTTTCAGGCTTCATTTTTGTTGTTTTGTTTTTTATCTAGGAAGTTAAATATAATATTTAAAAGGAAGTGGCTTGGTCAATAGTGCCAAATATTGCTGAGAGGGCAAGTAAGATGAGGAACCAAAATATCCATTGGATGTAGCAATTGTGGATTCCTTGGAGATAGGCAGCTATATCGGTAGAATCATAAAGGCAAATGCCTGAGTTGAATGTGTTAGGATGAACTGTAGATAAGAAAATTACTAAAAATTATATAAACTCTGTGAGAAGTTTAGCTGAAAAGGGAATTAAAAAAACATAATGGTAGGTGCTTGTAGAATATAGGATTGATGGTAGGATATTTTGAAAGGGGGAAGACTTGAGCTTACTTAAGCTTATCAAAAGAAAGTTTTCAATTGTCATAGACTGGTTATGTTTTTTGGGACTACTATAGGGATAATGAATAATGTGAAACAGGGTTGGGGATAGAATCACACACACAGATAAAGGATGTATTGGCAAAGGAATAGCTCTTCTAATATAATAAGAGAACACAGACATATAGGTAGGTTTGCACAGGTCCTTTACACATTTGCCTATTAATGTGTTCTTTTATGCATTGATTTGAAGAAGTTCTATATTATAGGGACATTTACCCTCAACTTTTATTATATATTAGAGGACTGGTGTTTGAAATTCATTCCCAGGTAGGGTCCCTAGGCCTGGCCAGTGATCAGGGCCAATAGGGGCCTTCCAGCTGTCAGCTGGGGCCTTCCTTCATTTCGCGCTGACCCTGGCGGTCAGCTCATGTCTTAGCAAGCAATCGAACTCCTGGTCTCCTGGTTGAACTCCCAAGGGGACACTTTGCATATTAGCCTTTTATATATATAGATGGTGCATGCATTTATAGAGTTTTTGTTTGTCTTTTAATTTAAATTAATTTGAAATTTATAGCATAAATGAGTTTTCATAAGTAAGTTTAGATGAAGGTGGTCAAAAGGTACAGTGATAAGTAAGAACTAGGAGTGTAATCTCCACTTACAGATAAGGATAGCATGGTGACTATAGTGAACACTCCTCTGTAATATATAGGAAAGTTGTTAAGAGACTAAATCCTAAGAGCTCTTAACACAAAAATTTGTTGTTGTTTTTTTTATCTATATGATATGATGGATGTTAACTAAACTTATTGTAGTAATCATTTCACAATATATGTAAGTTAAATCATTATGTTGTACATCCTAGACAGAGTTGTATATCAGTTACATCTCAATAAAAATGGAAGAAGAAAAAAAATAGTCCTGGCAAATGTGGCTCAGTTGGGTGAGTGTTGTCCCATGCACCAAAAGGTTGCTGGTTCAACTCCCAGTCAGGACATATGCCCAAGCTGTGGGCTTGATCCGCAGTAAAGGGCGTGCAGTAACAACCAACTGATATTTCTCTCTCTCTCCCTCTCCCTCTCTCTCTAAAAATCAATAAAAACATATTTTAAAAAATATATAAAGTTATTTTCCCTTATTTCCTCCTGTTGCCTCCAATGACTCCCTGGGTTCTTTTATCAGGGTGGAAGTAAAATAAAGATTACTAACTTGTGTTTCATACAGCATTCTAAAGGCCATTATTTAGCTAGAAAGTTCCCAATATTTCTATCTATTTTGTTATATCAAATTTTCCTTTATAGCATGTGACATTTTGAATAAAAAGACCTTCTTTGACCAAAGTTTATATAACATTCTTCAATCATTTTTTTCCTGAGGCATACATGATTTTTTTTTGAATTTTTAGTACACTAGGAATCATTTACAGTGGGCGTGAAGTAGGGATCTCTGCCCAGCCCACCTGCACCACCAGCACAGTGGTTGCCTTTAATTAGTACATGCTGTCCACCCTCCAGGTTTTAGCCTCAAGCACCTTACAAATTGTGTAACGTGGGTCAAGGAACACTTCCTTGAACTGGATCAAAACTGTCTAACTACCTGTTAGACCCTTCATCCTTGCTGTGGGAGCAAGGACAAAGAACTGTGCACATTTTTT